TTCCCTGACCAGGGATTGAACCCAGGCCCCCTGCATTGGGAGCGCAGACACTGGACCACCAGGGGAGTGCCTGCTAAGCAGTTTTAAAGTGTGTTGTAGACTTATCACCTGTATATGTTAGTATATGTCTCCTAAAAACAAGGACGTTCTCCTACATAACCTTAACTACCTTATTACACCAGTTTGGCACTGATACAAAGAGCAATATATTAAAAATTTTCCATCTATACACCCAAATGTCCGTTTTCCCGCTGTGGGAGCTAATCTCAGATTATGCATTACATTTGATTGTCATGTCTCTGTATCTTTTGATCTAAAGCAGGGCCTTGCAAACTTTTCCCTAAAGGCGCAGATAGTAATATTTTAGGCTTTGGGGATCAACTCCACTTTACAGCTACTCCACTCTGTCATTGTGGCTAGAAAACAGCCATAGACATTGTGTAAACAAATGAGTATAGGTATGTCCCAATAAAACTTTATTTAAAAAAACAGGCAGACCATAGGTTGTAGACTCCTGATCTAGAATAGCTTTCTTTTTTTTTCCTTTCCTTTTTTTTTTTTTTTTTTTGTGATGGTGAGGTCTTTAGTGACACTATTTAATGACTGAATAATCAAGCCAATTTTAGGGGCAGAATAACCCTCAGTTTAGATTTTTTAAAGTGTTTCCCCAGGGACTTCCATGGTGGTACAGTGGTTAGGAATCCACCTACCAGTGCAGGGGATACGGGTTTGAGCCCTGGTCTGGGAAGATCCCACATGCCGCAGAGCAACTAAGCCCGTGTGCCACAACTACTGAGCCTGCACTCTAGAGCCCGCGAGCCACAACTGCTGAACCTGTGTGCCACAACTACTGAAGCCCATGTGCCTAGAGCCAATGCTCCACAACAAAAGAAGCCCACACACCACAACGAAGAGTAGCCCCTGCTTGCTGCAACTAGAGAAAGCCCGTGTGCAGCAATGAAGACCCAATGCAGCCAAAAATAAATAAATAAATAAATAAATAGTTTCCCCATTAGTTTTTTAAAATTACAAATGCCATGTAACCTTCCACAATAGAATTGAAATCTGACTCCTTGAAAAAGATTCTGGCTTGCTTGGAAATAAAATCTTTCTCCTCTCTCTCTCTCTCTCTCTCTCTCACTCTGTCTCATAGTGTGTGTAATATCACTGCCTAGAAATTGGAGAATGCAATTAAACTTCTAGATTGTTAATTCTTGGTATCCTCTTTCAGACATCAGTATTTTTACAAATATACTCTTTCATATAAATGTTTTAAAATTCACAGAAGTGAGTAAAGAATTCAGGAAGGCTTGGAGAGTGAAAAGTAGTGAAAGTAACTTAGATGTAGATTTGAAGAGTATTTCTATTTTAGTCAAATGTGATTCCTCAGTACACAAGCTAAAATTCTTTTTATGTTGAAGACATGAAACAGAAATAATATTAACAATTATCTGCCACAGCTAAGCTTGCTGTTCTTTGCATTGGATTCAGCTTTAGAAATAGATAAAAAATAATTTTGAGAGATTTAATACAAAGTTGTCCATGTGGGGAAGCTGTACTCTACTTGCATTCATGTAAAAGTATATACTTTTTTTTTTCCCCAGTCTTTCCATCCTCTTACTTGGTTCAGTGAATAGCAGAATTGAAAGCAGCATGTTTTACTGGAGTAAAAGAGTTTCAGGATTTTTTTTTTTTTTGCTATACGCGGGCCTCTCACTGTTGTGGCCTCTCCCATTGCGGAGCACAGGCTCCGGACGCGCAGGCCCAGCGGCCATGGCTCATGGGCCCAGCCGCTCCGCGGCATGTGGGATCTTCCTGGACCGGAGCACGAACCCGTGTCCCCTGCATCGGCAGGCGGACTCTCAACCACTGCGCCACCAGGGAAGCCCTTCAGGATTTTTTAATGCTTGAATTTCCTTTAAATATCTCTGTGAACATCTATGGTGATTGGGCACTGTCCTACCATCTTTTATTGGTTTTGACTGAGAGAAGGTTTTTCTTCATATTGTGTCTTATCACAATTTGATTCTAGTTTGCCCTTTTGTATATTATAAAACAAGTCTATTTTCTTTTCCACATAACTGCATGTTACATAAAGATTGAAATAATATTTTATTGCGGGTTCCCATTTCTTGGCTAATTATTCCTCACATCACATTATGGAACAAATGGCTGGCATGATCTGTGCCTTGGTTTACTTATCTGTGAAATAAGGGTAATGGTACCTATCTTGTAAGTTGATTATGAGAATTGACTAATTGCACATTGTATAATATATATAGTACACATTCAGTAAATGTTTGACACTATTTGTTATTTCATATTACATAGTCTCCCATCCATCTTGTGTGGTCATGAACCTGTTTGTCTCTCAAAGCAGAGCTGAATACAGTAGCAAGTATGATCCGATTAGCCCAGGAAGAGTACAGTGGCCACATCACCGGTTAATTTGAACTCAAATTGGAGTTTTCTTTTTAACTCATTGTGGAGAACTTCAAGCATACAAAAAAGTGGACAGAATGGTATGATGGACCCTCACATACCCATCCTCCATCCCCCACAACATGGCAGTCCTGTCCCATTCCTTCCCATCCAGTTCCTTTACTCCCTCTCTGGTGTAGTGGTAGATCCTCTATTATACCTAAGCTCTGTTCCTGATTTACTTTGATAATTACTGAAGCTTTTAAGGATAGTGCCTAAATTAATGGACAGGTGAATCTTGCCTCAATTGATGCCTGGGTCAGATTCCAGTGGTTTGCTTTTAGAGGTGAAGTGAGTGGATGGGTAGGATTGAAATTAGATTTGTCTGTATTATACTGTTTTTTAGATGTCATGCCAGTTTTTTATTTTCTCCATTTCTGCTTAGGGATATGTATGATAATCTTATTGGTAAAATCTCTGAATACTCTAGGAAATTATTCAAATTAGCTGGCCTAGAAGACTTAAATTCAGTATCTTCTTACAGTCTTTTTACTTATTCTGGACTTTTAAGTCTTTACCAATGTATATATTAGGTCTTTCAATTTGCTAATCATTTAATCTTGATTGAAGAGAAGCAAAATAGGGAGTGAAGAGTTATACTTCCTTTGTAATCTCTGTTAGAATTATTTTTTGAAGTCAGAATCATTGTGGAATAATTTACATACAGTAAAAATTGTTATAATTTACTGACTTCAAATAGAGGCCTTTCTTCCCAGTGGCAGTGACTGACTGTAGCACTTTTTTCAAGTCTCTGCTTGTTTTTTCCTATAACTCTGTTCTTACTTGTGCCTCATTAATTGTTACTTGCTTACAGTAGTTTGCTGCAAGTTGAATAGACTCATAATCATTTTCATATTGATGATACAGAAGTGTGTCCTCTTTAAAGCAGGGGTCAGTCATCACAGAGACACCATGTAAGTCTTTGGTTATTCAGCTACATGGGGTAGGTATTCTGAAGGTGAAATATGGCAATTAAGAGTATTATAGAGAGGTTAGGTTCTACCTGACTCAGTACAATCACCCTAAGATTGAGTGTGGGTGAGCCTGCCTGGTAAGAAAACACCAGCACGGTCAAGGTTTGTACACGCCATACACCTCAAAGCAAACAGAGGCAGAGTGAAGGTGAGTTTAGGCTTAACCTCTGTAACTGATCCAGGAGTAACTTAGTACAGACCTTGGTTTCCAATTCAGTTCTAACTTTTTTTTTTTTTTTTTTCAGTTCTAACTTTTGAATGAAGTATCTCTAGCTTGAGAGAAGCCTTACCCTTCAGTGTTAGGAGTTTTTACCTTGATTATTAAACATCTCATCAGGGATTAGGTAACAAGGGACTTGAGAATAAGAATATGTTTTAGGCAGGGGGCTGAAACGGTGTTCTAATAGAGAATGTCATGTTGCAGTTACGCCATGGCTGTGAACATCAAAACTGCATTGTTTTACCCTTGAAATTTCTGCTTGTTTGCTAACTTCCGGACTTAAAAGTTTCAGTATACTTTTGATTGCACAGAACATCTGTCCATTTGTTCATTCAAAGAATATTTACTGAGCATCTATATGTTGGGAAGTGTGCTGCACACTGAATAAACAAAACAGTGGACTTTTCAGATGTGTTTGCCATTATGGAGTTTATAGTCTGTTGGGAAACAGAATGAAATTTATTGAAAGCCATAAAGAAAAATTGTGCTTCACTAATATTTTAAAGACCTAGTGACTTATTTTGAAGTGAACTTGGAGTGATTTGTTCTTAGTTCTTTTGCAAAATGCATTCAAGTATTCAGGGTTTTTGTGCTAACGTGTTTCCTTATGTGTACTGATATGTGAAACTAGACATTAGAGAGGCAAGACAATTTGAACTGGGGTGGGGGGGAGGAGACTATGAACAGATAGTAGGTTTGTGTGGGTAAAATTCTATGTTAGCTGTGCTAAATAGACTGTTATAGGCAGGGAAGTAAGAAATATCTTTGAGTCCTTTCTTCTGTAAAAATGTTTAATACTTAAGAATTGACAGGGAAGTAAACTTCCTCTAGAACGGAGGTATAACAGAACGAGCAAATGAGAACCATGCCAACTAAGATCATGTCTGAATTATGTGACAGTTTCTTGTAACTCTGGTCAAGAAAATTTGCCTCAGATTTCTTATTCCAACAGAGTACAACAGAGGGACTGAATTTGGTGATCCCTCCTGGTGCTAAAAATCTTACGATTTAAAAAAAAATTTGACTTGGATTGCTGGAAAGTCAAGATGCTTGCTTTCTTACTTTCTGTACTTGTTCCGGTTCAAGAATTAAGAACTTTAGATGGGAGAATAAGGCTTTGCTTTCTCTAACTGCTATTTTCTGACTAGGTACTTCGTAACTCAGGAAGACCTCATTTATTCCCAGTAATATGTTTTACTAAAACTCTTTCAGGTAACTTTACAAAGACTGTGTGACTTAATAGTAGATCACGGCTTGAACTCAGTTTTTATTTATTGTTGTAACTAGAAAATTTTAGTGAGGGCTTTTTTTTTTTGTCTCTGTAGTTATCAGAGACTGTTACAGACGATTGCTGTACTCGAGGCTCAACGTTCTCAAGCAGTCCAGGACCTTGAAAACTTAGGCAGACATCAGAGAGAAGCACTAAAAAATCCCATTGGATTTGTGGAAAAACTCCAGAAGAAGGTATATATTGAGCAATTTTTAAGATTTATTGAGATGTATTTGGTAATAACTCGGTTTATTCTTTTTATATGATTATATACTTGTTTAAATGTTTAATTTTTTTCCCCTTCTGTAATTAACCATATTACTGAAGGCAGAATACTGCCTTCCTTCACCCCCACCAAACACACAATAAGATATACCTCAATGAAGATAGCTAGGAGCTTCAATTGGATGTGTGTTTAGAAACTTGATGTCCTGTTCCTAGCCATTTTTACAGTCTTTTTCTGTTACTTTCTTCCTTCCCCATCTTAAAAATATTTTCCCTGTTTTGCTTTCAGGACTTCAAGATTGTTGAAGCTAAAAGAAAAAATACTTTAGTATTTATTTACTGCTTAGTTTAGAGTTACTTTTCTAACTCTGAACGTAGTGAGATAGAAAACAATGGTGATACAAACAAAAACTATATTTTAAATGTCTTTAGGGTTATGGTTGCCAAGTCTATGAGAATGAGGTATATAAATTTTACTTAATTTTGAAATGTTCTTTTATTTTAGTGTAAAATTCCTTATAATTCTATTTTTTCCTTAAAACATAACTTTCATATTTAAGCAGTTAACCATTTGAAAGTGATTCAAGTTTTTATAACTTTCTTAGTGTGTAAACATGGAGATAATCTAGATGTGCATTTATGCCACAGTATGTGTCTTGAATTAGGGGCCCACTAATTATTCAGTAAATTTGAGAGGCAAATATTAATCAGCATTGTCTGAAAAGATTAAAACTGAAAAACTATGAAAAAGAATCCTCTTTTTCACCTTAAACAACACAAAAATTTAGCCTGTTCAGTATGAAAAATTTAGTTATTAGTTACTAGTTTTTAATGAGTCACAGAAGTGGTCTACCAGGTGTTGAGGGAACAGCCCTGGGGACTTCATTTTATTTAGATGATTATTGTTTGGATTTGGATTTTTCTAGTTATGTTATTTACTTGGCAAGCATTCCTTTCTCTGCTTTCAGAACATTGAATATCATAATAGACGTAGGATCTATATATTGATTTGTTAAACCTTCTAGAGTTTTTAGAACCCTATTGTACCCTCTGTGTTATAGTGGGCCCACTTAGGTGTTTATTGATTCTGCACTGCTGTCATGAAACAATTTGCTGGTGCAAAAAGATACAGTACTTTCAGTGTTTACTTATCATTGATTCAACTAAGACAGATGGTGTTTTAACCTTAATCGCATTTTATTCATGTTCTTGGGTGGGCAAAAAGATGCAGTTATGCACATTTACTAGATACGTTATGTGGTTGGTTATTTGCTGGTTTTCCATTTCTGTGTTTAGTTTAGAACTGAATTTCTTTTCACTTTATCTCAGAAACAGAGATGTGATATTGACTATCTTAAGAATTTTTTCAAAAATATACAAATGTGTATTAAATCCTAGATGCTTTGGTAATCATGAAAGACTTATGTTCCTTGGAAAGAAGATTTTCTGCTGGATTTAATTTAGAAGTTTGAGTTTTCACTTTTTCTGTGTTAACTCATGTATGCTTAAATTGTCTATTTTCTTCAGGTTTACCAGAGTAGTTAAGTTGTTGACATGTGATCTCTTTGTTTTACTGGACATCTAAAAACTCCTAATTGAAATTAAGGAAACTTGGATTATATATTGGTATATAGAATGCAGGGAACCTTTACGGCTTGTTAGCTTTCTTTGATATTACTACCATCATTATTTTAAAAGACACTCTGTTCTAATTTTTCTAAAGTTGAACCTTAGACTAATATGTGCTATTATGATGATGGTGCTAATATAATATGTCACAAGCAAAATAAAAATTAAGAATTCTGTGTCACAAAGTGGATTTTGCCTGCCAAGTTCATAATTTATGACCTGATTTTTTTCTCAACGTTTTATTTTGAAAAATGTTAAGTAGACGAAAAAGTGGAAAGTACTGTATAGTTAGCACACCCATCCACCCCCAGATTCTACCATTAACATTTTATTATATTTGCTTGATTGTATGTTTATGCAGTTCTTCCATCCACCATTCTATCTTATTTCAAGATGGAATGCATTTGATGCGTTCCAGAGTTGCAGACATGCACACTTAACACCAAAACGCTTCAGAATGCATATCGTTAACTAAAATTTTTTTTTAAAACTTTTTCAGGTGAAATTTACATACAATGAAATTCAGAAATCCCAATTTTACCATTATATGGGTTCTGACAAATACACCCACCCATGAAACCCGAATCCCTATCAAAAGATTGATCATGGGCTTCCCTGGTGGCGCAGCGGTTGAGAGTCCGCCTGCCGATGCAGGGGACACGGGTTCGTGCCCCGTTCCGGGAAGATCCCACATGCCGCGGAGCGGCTAGGCCCGTGAGCCATGGCCACTGAGCCTGCGCGTCCGGAGCCTGTGCTCCGCAACGGGAGAGGCCACAACAGTGAGAGGCCCGCGTATAGCAAAAAAAAAAAAAAGATCATACTGACGTGGTTTTAGTAATTATGACAACTATTCACTTCTCTAAAGATGGTTGGCAAAGTAATTGAATTCCAAGTAAACTAAAGATGTAGTTTTGATTCTCAAAATGTGATGTTTTTTTGTACACGTGCTGAGTTATATAGTGTGAAAATAATTAATAGTTTTATGGATAAGTCAGGAACACATGGGTCCATTAAAAATGAATTCTGTGTATCAAGTCATATCTATTATATTTCAGTCAGACACATTTCATGTGCTGTTCTTAGAGATAAATATCTTTCTTTGCTATTTCTGTTTAAAGTGTGTTAGTGATAAAGTACAGTATGTTTATATAGTTCAGCTTTAGACCTCTAAAATTAGTGCTTATGTTTTGTTAAGTTCATTTTCCTTTACTTGGCTATCATTTCTACCATTTAGTGTTTAGACTGTATTAACTTCATTGGCTGTTGGATTCAAAAAGTGAGTAGAAATGCTCAGTTGATGATTATTTAGATTTGGAGCCATCTGAAAATTTGGTTGTAGTTGATAATTTCTTGAATTAAACTTAGTTTGTCACTTTCATTTTTTTCCCCCACCAGGCTGATATAGGGCTTCCATATCCACAGAGAGTTGTTCAGTTGCCCGAGATTGTATGGGACCAATATACCAATAGCCTTGGGAACTTTGAAAGAGAATTTAAAAATCGCAAAAGACATACTAGGAGAGTTAAGCTAGTTTTTGATAAAGGTAAGAAATTACATGATACGAATTTAATTAGAGAACTACCTGACAAAGTCTTGCTTTAATAATCCTATATGTGGTTTTCTTTTTAGTAGGTTTACCTGCTAGACCAAAAAGTCCTTTAGATCCTAGGAAGGATGGAGAGTCCCTTTCATACTCTATGTTGCCTTTGAGTGATGGTCCAGAAGGCTCAAACAGTCGTCCTCAGGTAAGCAGGATAAAGTGTTAGAGCAGGAAAATTTGAATTGTAGACAAAACATTTTAACATTTTGCTGGTTTGTATTCTTAAAATTCAAGCAGTCTTTCACCTGAAGGTATGATGAGAACATGACTTTGAAGTTAAGAAAAAGCTGGGTTGAAATCATAACTCCACCACTTACTAGCTGTGGAACTTCAGATGTCATCTATATTAAAATCTCCAAGCTGCAGTTTCCTCTTATATAAAATGTGATTAATATCACCCTATGTTGTAGAGTTGTTGTGAGGAATATAATGAGTAGTACATGTAACATGCCCAGTTCAGTGCCTGACACATAATACAGTATTTATTCTAAAAATAAGAGCTCTTTGTGTGTAGTGGAATGTAACTAGGATTTGCTGGTTGTAACCTGGCCTTGCTGCTGTTAGTTAGATGAACTTTAATAAACATGTGGATTCAGAATGAAAAAGTAACATTTCTTTAAAATAAACAATAGCCATAAAGATAGTGGTATGTTGAGCTGTGTAACTAGTTAAAAATATTATGTACATTTTAGTAAAATTGATATTAGGCTCCATTTTATGAGCAAGACATACGTTTAGGATATTACTTTATTATTACTTAAATAAAAAGACTAGCACATTAAAAATATTATAATGGAAAAAATTCCACGTATAACTTCCTCATTGTTAGCAAAGAATATATATGGTACATTATTATTTCTAAAACTGCCCTAAACAGTCAGTACATATGATCTCTTCAAGATGTTTCCCCACATCCTTAGGCTAGAAATAAAACTGTTCATATTTCAAAAGTAAAGAATAAATAGATAACAAAGGAGAAAGATGCACCTGGTGTGTGTTCATGCTTTGTTTCCTTCATTTTTCTTTGTGAGGGTGGATGTGATGCTTTATTTAAAAGATTGGGATGGAAATACTCTTCTGAGGTACAAGACACTAATTGGAAAATGGATTTGTTAAAAATATTTGAATTCTTTGGTTTTCAGATGATTTACAATCTACCAAAGAAAGGTAATTCAAATAAACTATAAGCACTGTAACAATGATTATTAAAAAAAAAAGAAACATTTCTATTTCTTTAAAATGAAGTTGCTGTCACCTATATCTCAAGATTGCTAGGAGTATAAAACCAAATGAAATAAAAGAACATGAAAACATTTTGTAAGCAATAAATTATGTACACATTAAAAAAATAAATTTACTCACATATTTTGAAATTAATTAAAAATTTCACAATTTGTGTGTTATTTGGCTATATCAAAGGGTAGTCTTTGTTTTTTCTCTCTGACAAAAACCTTGTTTTATATGCAGATGATAAGAGGACGCCTGTGTGACGATACCAAACCTGAAACATTTAACCAGTTGTGGACTGTTGAAGAACAGGTAATAGATATTTCTAAATTGTGTAGGTTTAAAAAAAAAGCAGTTAAAATTAGAGCCAGTATTGTGAGTAAAGTGTATATTGTTGTATGTAATCCCTCTTAACCATGAATTTAAAATATTTAAACTTGTTTCTGTATACCTTTTTGCATACTTCAAGAATTTTGCATTCTGAGAATATATGAATTCCATTTTGGGGATAATTTTTAATTAAGGAACCTGGGTTTTGGGGAGGGGATTGAAAAAGATATTAAAACAGATGGAGTAAAGTTTTTGTAATGCAGCTTTGTGAGACAGAAAAACCTGGAGCCAAGTAAAGCTGTGCTTCAAAGTGAATTCTTGTTTTTGTTTGGAGGGGAGCTGGCAAAGCCAAGGTCAGAGTGTTCTCTTACATTTTGGCATATAGCTAGGATTGTTTGTGGGTAAGGTTTGAGACACATCTCTGTCTCATGTGAGGATTAGCCCCACAGCTATAATGAGTTTATCAGTTTATAAAAAGCTTCAGGAAACTTTTATTTCCAACATTTGGACTATTTTGCATCCTTAGGACTATGGGAGAATTTAGGAGATAGGTCAGAATATTAAAATTAAATATTTGAATGAAGGACCACACAAAGGAGGAAAAGATCTCTTTTAGTATTCTGTCTAAATCCAAATGAATTTACATAGTTTTGTCAGATCCATAGTGGCAAGCCTAAACATAGTCTAGCAAGATAAAGTGGTCAGTGGAAATCACTAAAATATGTAACATATTAATTAATTATTTTCTTTGTTGGGGGTGCTTTCCTTTTTTTACTGAAGTGCATAGAAAATCTTTATAAGGTCTTTCATAGGTTTATTTTCTAATCTTATTTTTCTTGTGAAGTCTTAAATTCCTTACTAGAAATTTTTCCTATCATGAGGATTTCTAGTTGACCTAACCCCCAAAGTTGGGGAGGGAGTATTATAGTTTAAGATGAAAGGTGAATGTATTTATTTAGAAACTCAGTATTAAACTTTCCTAAATTTGGTCTTTGGTTTGGCTTAGAAAAAGCTTGAACAACTACTCTTGAAATACCCTCCTGAAGAAGTAGAATCTCGACGCTGGCAGAAGATAGCAGATGAACTGGGCAATAGGACAGCAAAGCAGGTAATTGAGGAGATAGCCCCATATTGTTGGCATGTTTTTGATGGTTTTTTAAATGAAGGATAGTGAAGCTAAAATCAGTAGACCTGCCCCTTCATATTTAGCTACACAGTGCTATAGTATGTGGAGTTTTAAAAAACAACATCGTGTATTTTTCTGTTGATTTTAGAAACAACTCTGAGATAATTCTGCTTTGGATCATTACTTAAAAATAAAAAAGTAATGGACTTGGTGCCTCTTGAATGTTTAATGAGTGCACCAGTTTGTGCTTTTTGGTTAGACTGTGCTAATAGATTTGTGATCGTGCCTTAGTCAGTATTCCCTGATTGTCTTTCTAAAAAAATACCTGTCAGTTTTCTCCTTCACATTCCCATTGATATTAATAGATATGTTTTTATGCTGCAAGCACTTGTGTTCACAAGTTGAAACTGTGTTTAGCTTTGGAATCAAACAGATTTAATTTATTTTAACAGTTTTTTTGTCTCTATTTTAAAACATAAGTGTCTTTGGTGGCAATTTAAAATTATTTCTAGATTTATGGTAGATTTTAAGTTGTTACTATTCATTAAGATACACATGTATGTTTTAAAAACTATTTTAAAAAACTATTCTGATACTGCATGTCTTGTCATTTATTACGTTAAAAGGCTTGTCATGTTTCCTTAGGTTGCCAGCCGAGTGCAGAAGTATTTCATAAAACTAACTAAAGCTGGCATTCCAGTCCCAGGCAGAACACCAAACTTATATATATACTCCAAAAAGGTAAAAAAAAAAATAGGTAAAAGTAAACCTTAGATCTCAGATTAAATTCATCAAAGTCAGAGTTCCTGTGTAAAAGTTTATATATTTATCAGAACAGGGTTATTTTATTTTTAAAATTTGACTCACTCTAAACATTTTCTTATATATGGTAGGATTCCATTATTGCTACTCAGTGAGTTTCAATGACGATTATTCATTATTTTCTTAGGAGTAGGTTAGTTAATGTGAATGAGTGCTATTTGAAAGATATTAGATTGTATGTATGTCAAAAAGGCCTTTGTGATGTTAAAGTTTTTAGGGTGTTTGATTCTTTAGTAAATATAATCAATTTCTGTTTTATACATATATTATATAAATCCAAGGTTAGAAATATTTATTAAGATATTTAATCCTCACTGTAATTCTAAAAGTGTAGGTAGTATCACTTTCACTTTACTCATGATAATATTAATAGATAGCTTTTGATCTTACTGTTGAATGCTCTGGGCTAGGTACTGTTCTACAACCTTTTTATAGATGAGAAAACTAAGTACATTGAGTGAATTGTCTAGTCACAGCTGGTAAGTCTGGGAATCATTGATCTTCTGATTCTGCACCTAAGCCTTTTCCACTGTTCTCTGCCGCTCTGTACAGTGAAAAAGCTACTGTCCCTCTCCTACACAGAACACTGCATAGAATTATGGCCAATTTTTTGCTTTAATTGCAAAAAAAGTAAAGCACATCATTGGCCTTCTTTCATTTCCTTGGTAAATCATCTGGGTACTTCCACTCCCCCGCAACTGCCACCGTTCACCTAAAGAGAAGCTAGGAGCCGATCTAATGCTGTTACCCTTCCTTAGTGAAGCTAACTGTTTTACATTAAGAATATTGTCTATATACCTCCATGTTTTAAAAATTTTGTTCTTATTCTTTTTACCAAGCTCTGGAAGCTTGTTTTAATTTGTCAGATGTTTTAAATATTCTGGATTTTTTTCTCCCCAAATATAGTATTATCTATTTAGATATGTAGAGTTCATCCTGTAACTTCAGAATGTTGGAACTTTGATAACCACCATTTAACTTAACAGCTTTAATTTTCGTGATTTCTAGGTTATCTTTAGATGTGTTGTGCACCTTACGTTTTCACCACTAAGACTAGACGATGATAACAAAAGGAATACTAAAGAAACCTAAATGTGTTCCCTTCTTTGGGTGCACTGAATTTTAAGTTAACAGACATTTTGACTGCAGAGATCTAGCCCAGTCATAGACGTGGTTAGAGGTTTTTTGTTTTGTTTTGTTTTAAATAAATTTAATCAATTAATTAATTAATTTAGTTTTGGCTGTGTTGGGTCTTTGCTGCTGCGCACAGGCTTTCTCTAGTTGCAGTGAGCGGGGGGCTACTCTTTGTTGTGGTGCGTGGGCTTCTCATTGCTGTGTCTTCTCTTCTTGCGGAGCACAGGCTCTAGGAGTGTGGGCTTCCGCAGTTGTGGTATGCGGGTTCAGTAGTTGTGGCTCATGGGCTCTAGAGAGCAGGCTCAGTAGTTGTGGCGCACGGGCTTAGTTGCTTTGCGGCATGTGGAATCTTCCGGGACCAGGGCTTGAACCCGTGTCACCTGCATTGGCAGGCGGATTCTTAACCACTGTGCCACCAGGGAAGTCCTGACATGGTTAGAGTTTGAATTTTGAAATGAAATGATGGTTCTCTATGTGGCTGAGATTATTCTTTGTGGCGGTGCTGTTCGTGAAGAGAGGAAGTCTGCATAGGGGTTCAAAGGGAGGCCTTTGGCTCCACAGAGGCCTATTTTATAATCTTGATTCTACCACTGCCTAGCTGCAGTACCTTGAACAAGAAAGTTAACCTCCTCATGCCTCCGTTTTTTCACCTTTAAATTAGAAGTGATAATAACTACTTTACAGGAATGTTTTGAGGGCTAAGTGACATTGACAAAGAGTAAGCAGTCAATCAGTGTTAGATACTATTTTCAGACATTCATCGTGTTGGGGAAATTTTCTTTTTACTTGATAGTTTTATATCTGGCTTTGGCTAACTTCATCCTCCTTGATCATCTGTAAGATGACCTTAAGAGGAGCCAGCATGTGAATGCCAAGAGTGTAATAAATGTTGGGGATACAAATATAAGCTACATAATGAGCATATGGTCCATTATACTCCACCTAGGTATTCTGCCTACATTTCTGTTTGTTGGTTTGGTTTGTTTTTATTTAAGGCTTGTTGTCTTTTTAAAAATCCAGATAAAATAGAAAAAGCAACCACATAAGAGTATGCTGAAGGGTAGAGGTGCAGTCCTTCTGATCAGGCAGATTTGCAGGAAGTAGCATTTATATTTTTGATTCTTTTAATGATTGTCCACTATCCCAATTAAAAATTTGTTTTCTCACTTAGTCTTCAACAAGCAGACGACAGCACCCCCTTAATAAGCATCTCTTTAAACCTTCCACTTTCATGACTTCCCATGAACCACCAGTGTATATGGATGAAGATGATGACCGATCCTGTTTTCGTAGCCACATGAACACTGCTATGGAGGAGGCATCAGTAAGTTATCTATTTATACTATATATATGTCTGTCTATCTATCTATCTATCTATCTATCTTTATCTATGTATTATACAGATCAGGATACAGAATGGGAGCACCAGGATTTCCTAATTATTCCTATTCTTCAGAGAATATTGCTTTCTTTTCTTTTAATTAACTAGTCAAACTTGTTTTACAATGGGCTTTAAAAATGTTTTTATGAAGAAACTTTCAAGCATATACAAAAATAAACCCATGTGCACCCATTATTCAGCTTTAACAATTATCAGTTTGTGGCAATCTTATTTTCATCTATACTTCCTACCCACCCAACTTTCTGTCTGGGATTATTTTGGAGCAAGTTCCAGACATTACAAAATATCATTATCATGTTTATTAAAAGGTACTTCTTTATATAATCCAGATATCCAGTCAGTTCACATTTCCCCAGTCATAAATTGCAGTAGTGCCTCCCCCCCGCCGCCCTTTTCTCTCTCTTCTGTTTTCCCCTCTCACATTTGTTTTGTTGAAAAACTGGGTTATTTGTCTTGTAGAATTTACCTCAGTGTGGATTTTGTTGTTTGTATCTCCTTGGTGTCATTTAATCTGTTCCTCTGTTCCCTGAATCTCCTATAAATTGATAGGTCTAGATAACTGATCAGATTCAGGTTTATTTGTTTTTTTGTTTGTTAGGGTGGGCAGGACTACTTCATGTATACTTTTATCAGTTTGACATAGCATACATTGTTGCTTAGATCCATTAACTCATTAGATGTTACAAAATAGTAAAATTCTTTCTTCATTTATTTGATAGAATATTCACAAAGTAACCCCCCCATCAACTATTTGATTATCCTAAGTTACATACAGAAAACGCAGCATAACTGCTTGATTCTTCCCTTTATTTTCCTGTTTTTAAAATAATGAGTTTGTTCTCTGATATCCTGCAGATTGACTCATGAGGTTTTAAAATTTTTGTATTCTTATGAATTGTTGGACTTAAAATATATTTAATGTGTTTCAGTGCATTGATATTATTGTCTTTATTAGTGTACAAATTGGCCCATTGGTTGGTTGTAACCTATTCAAGCTGGATTTCGAGTTCTTTTGACAAGACTCTAGTAATCTTTTATAGCTTTCTTACTGTCCGGTAGGACAAGGAAATTCCAGGCTCATCTTGTATATTTCCTGCTTCAGACCTGGAGTCAGTTCTGCTTTCTTTTATTGAGAAATGGTATTTGGAGGCTCTATCCTGATACAGGATGTTACTTGCTACTGGATTGATCATTGTATCTAAGCCTATATAGTGGACAGAGCTGAGAAATATGTTATATATTTGTTAAAATTAAAAGACATCATAAATTCATCATTTTATTTCAAATTCAACTTAAGGACCGTGGGAATTTTACTTAACCCATTTTGATCTTTAATATGTATCATTTTTCTCCCATGCTGAAAATTCCAGTTATCAGTGACATCAACATAATGCTTTCTTTGTCTCACACTGCCCACAGTAGTCTCAGAATTTCATAATACTAACACTACCATCAACAATATGATCCTGAAAACAGGTTTTTTGGGTAGCACTGTTTTTGCAGAGCACAGGCTCCAGATGCTCAGGCTCAGCGGCCATGGCTCACGGTCCCAGCCGCTCCGCGGCATGTGGAATCTTCGCAGACCAGGGCACGAACCCATGTCCCCTGCATCAGCAGGTGGACTCTCAACCATTGCGCCACCAGGGAAGCCCCGGGTAGCACTGTTTTTGCCTTAGGATATACCCAACTACAGAAATAAAGTCAAATTATACTTTTTAAATCCTCTTGGACTAATTCCTCTCTGTGTTGTCATCAACTGGATGCTATTTTAGGTTAATTCATTTCATTTTACTTTACATTCGGAGATTCCTTTTTATTGCTGTTAATATTTTTTATTTTACTATGCTAAAATTCTTCCTCAATAAGTAACATGATTCTGATTCCTTGTTTAAAGGACATGAAGATTGCCTTATATCTTTCTTAGTACTTTGATTATATATGGTAACTGGAAAAGGAGATTTTAATGAAAAGTCAGCAGATAAAAATAAGTCTCCTTTGTTCTGTTTCTAGATTAATCAAACACTGATTGTATACTTTGGTATGAAACTACTGTAAAATGACTGTATTCTTAAATTTTTTTTTTCTTTTTAAACTTGTCTTTTTGAAAAACAGCTAGATTCTGCTGTGTCTTAAGATATGGCATTTGTGTGTAATTTTGTATTTTGTGACTATTAGAATTACTCATTTGAGAAATGTTTATTTACACTTAATATGTAACAGGCTCTGCTAGAGGTCAGCTCCATAGTTATGAATAAAATATCTATGATCTTGGGGTTCTCATAAATCTTAGTTTTGTGGGAGGAGATAAATGTGTAATCACATCAATAAATTACAGAATTTTAAAAATGCTTCAAAAGTATGTGTCATTGTAATTATTTTAGAGGTACTTAATTCAGATTGAGAGTTTAAGTGGAAGACCCAAGGAAGTGATAGTCAAGTTGGCCATTGAAGGATGAATAAAACTTAGCTAGGTGAGGAGTGATGATGGGATGCTTAAAAGAAGTACATTTTGAGAAAAGTGGCAAAATATAGTATAGTATAGGTGGTTGAATTTGATTTAGCTTTTGTTTGGTTGATTTATTTATTTATTTTTAAATGAGCACCAGTTCACATCATTCTGATTACTTTAAAATAGCTATTTAAATGTATATTTATGAATCCTCTAGTGTAAAATTTATAGATTTCAGTTTCTCTTTTCAGAAAAGCAGTAGCTAGAGAGACAATCTGTATACCATTTAGACCCCCTTGAAATTGGTCATAGTATTTCTCCTTTAAGTAAATTTAAAATGATTATAACTAGGAAATCTGTTTATGGGTGAGCATTTTAAAAATATTTGTTTGTTTTTTTGTTCATTTTAAAGTAACATTGGTTTATAACATTATATGTTTCATGTGTACAGCATTGTAATTCAACTAATATATATGCACTACAGTGTGCTCACCACCAAAAATTCTAGTTTCTATCCATCACCATACATTTGACCCCCCCCTACCCATCTCTCCCTCCCCCTACCACTCTTCCCCTCTGTGGAAAGAACACCAATCTGTTCTCTGTACCTGTGTGTGTTTTTGTTTTAATTTGTTTGTTTGTTTATTTTATGTTTTTTTAATATTCAACATAAGAGTGAAATCTCGGTACTTGTCTTTCTCCTCTGACTTATTTCACTTTGCATCAATTTCCTCAAAGTCCATCCTTGTTGCCACAGCTGGCAAGATTTTATCTTTTTTTTTTTGATGGCTGAATAGTATGGAATTTTAATTTTTAATTGTGCTGAATACCCATAACAGAAAATTGACCATCTCAGCCAATCTTGAGTGTACAGTTCAGTGGTGTTAAAGTACATTTACGTTATTGTGCAGCGAATCTCCAGAACTCTTTATGTCTTGCAAAACTGAAACTCTGCATCCAGTAAACATCATCTCGCTATTCCCTCCTCCTTCTAGCTCCTGGCAACTACCATTCTACTTTCCGTCTCTTTGAGTTTGACTACTCTGGGTACCTCATATAGGTAGAATCATACAGTTTTTGTCCTTTTGTGACTGGCTTATATCACTTAGCATAATGTCATCAAGGTTCATTCATCATGTAACGTGTCACAATTTCCACTTTTACGGCCAAATAATATTCCATTGAGTGTGCATACCACATTTTATTTATCCATTCTTCTGTCAGTGGACACTTGGGTTGCTTCCACCTTTTGGCTGTTGTGACTAATGCTGCTGTGAACACGGGTGTACAAATATCTGTTAGAGTCTCTGCTCTCAAATTATTTTGGGTATATACCCAGAAGTGGAATTGCTGGATCATATGGTAATTCTGTTTCATTTTTTGAGGAACCACAGTACTATTTTCAGTAATGGCTAGAACATTTTATATTCTCATCAACAGTGTACAAAAGTTTCAATTTCTCTACATCCTTGCCAACACTTATTATTATTATTACTATTTTAAAATTTTGATAGTAGCCATCTTAGTGGGTGTGAGGTGATTTAACTTTTTTTTTTAACATCTTTATTGGAGTATAATTGCTTAACAATGTGTTCATTTCTGCTGTATAACAGAGTGAATCAGCTATATGTATACATATATCTAACTTAATCTTGTTGACCAAATTTAATAATACCCTTAGACTTAAAATGCAAATTAAAAAATTTAGCAGAGTTTGTATTCTTTGTATTTGCCTAAAATATCTAAATTTAATAATTTTATTATAAAATTTCTTACTACATTATTTAATTATTTGGGGTACATCATATTTATTGGTATTACGTATTTATTACATTATTTATGTTGTCTTTCTCAGGGGTAACATAGGAAGGCAGTAGCTATAATTTAACATCTTTAGTTGACAAGAATTTGAAATGGATGAAAGATAGTGGGCGATAAGGTAGGTGAAGTGTGAGATTGTAAAGAATCATTATCCAGCTGAGGCCTTTGGGCTTGACAATGTAGATAGTGAGGAAGCCATTTTTAGCAATAGTGAGACAGAGGAGGGAGTGGTTACTATAGAGGACTGATTTGAGAGAGATTTTAGGTAGTATTAATTAGTGACAGAATTATGTTTTATTAGATATGAAGTATAAAATTAAGGATAACACTTAGGTTTAGGCCTTGGGCTGCTAGGTGTGTAAGGGGTTAGTTATATGGACAAATCTGGGTTCAAATCACTTGACTCTTTAACTAATTAACCATGTAAGCTTGGGCATATGTTATAATTTCTATAAACATCAGTTTCCTTGATACAATATAAATATAGTAGCTAAGAATACGTAACATGGAGAGCAGGAGAAACAGGAGGTGCAGGGGTTGTCTGGTCCAGGATTGAGAATTGATGGAACATGGGATTAATGAATTGGGGATGCTTTTATGAGGGTTGTGGAAATCAGTGACCATGGGATCAGTCATGAGGTAGCAAAGGGAAGAAATGGATCCTGGGTGGCAGAGCACAAATAAATTGGGAAAATAGGAAGCAGTTAGTGATTCATCTGTCAACTTCAAATTCATATAGCTTTTACTGTTCATTTCTTTATTGTAAATAATAATCTTTGTAACATAAGTTCATCCATTTGAGTAAGAGGAATGTACTGTATTGATCATTGGGAGTACTGAGCAGAAAACAGAAGAGATTAGTTTGCTTGTTGTTAAGAAAATGTCATATTTACCTGAGGAAGCTTAAAAATCTGTTAGATTGGAGAAGAGGAGCTTCCTGCAGATCAGGAAAAAGTATATTACAAGGAGTCTTCCAAGTCGCCATGAACTTGTTGGGATGGGGTTGAAGCTGCGTTAGTGTATGACAGAGGTGGGAGTCATGCCTTGTTCCCCTGGTACTTGCGTTATGAAGATGCCTACTACAGTTCAATATTACTATTGTATTAAGAATCCCTCCAGGGCTTCCCTGGTGGCGCAGTGGTTGAGAGTCCGCCTGCCAATGCAGGGGACACGGGTTCGTGCCCTGGTTCGGGAAGATCCCACATGCCGTGGAGCGGCTGGGCCCGTGAGCCATGGCCACTGAGCCTGTGCGTCTGGAGCCTGTGCTCCGCAAAGGGAGAAGCCACAACAGTACCCCAAAAAAAAAAAAAAAAAAAAAAAAGAAGCCCTCCAGAAGTATTAGTCTAAAATATTGCTGAGGGTCTCTTTGGCCTCTCCCGTTGCGGAGCACAGGCTCCGGACGCACAGGCTCAGCGGCCATTGGCTCACGGCCCCAGCCGCTCTGCGGCATGTGGGATCTTCCCGGACCGGGGCACGAACCCGTGTCCCCTGCATCGGCAGGCGGACTCTCAACCACTGCGCCACCAGGGAAGCCCAAGGGTCTCTTAAATGTGGAAAATATCTTGTCAGTAGAAAAATACTCTTTATCAGTATTTCTTATACTAGTTCATTTTAATTATGAAACTAACAGTTTTGTGTTTTGTTTTTTTCAATAGGATGAAGAAAGTATTCCTATTATGTATAGGAATTTACCTGAATATAAGGAACTATTACAGTTTAAAAAGTTAAAAAAACAGAAACTTCAGCAAATGCAAGCTGAAAGTGGATTTGTGCAACATGTGGGCTTCAAGGTAAATTCTATTTAATTCTTCTATTCATTTAATTTGAAAGGGTGATAAGATATATTTAAGGTGGTTTTCGGAGCTTTAAGCTCCACGACTTTCAAGCACACAGATAAAAGTAAGTTTAGCTCTTGTCCTGTTCATTTATACAAAGTAGTGTGCCACAGTTACTGGTGTCAAGAGATTTATGATTCAGTAGAGATAGAGAAGAAAAATATACAGGTATAGTTTGAGGTAATACATGAGATGAGAGGTTTTTCTAGCTATTTCCCCACCCCAAATTTACTGAGATATAACTGACAAATAAAAACTGTACATATTTGTGTACAAAAAATTTAAGATATAAAAAAAATTCACCTCGCATAGTTATCTTTTTTTTTTGAGATAAGAACACTTAACATCTGCTCTCTCAGCAAATTTCAAGTATGCAATGCAGTATTACTAACTATAATTACTGTGTTGTACATTAGACCTCCAGAACTTATTCATCTTATAACTGAAAGTTTGTACCCTTTGACCAATGACACCACGCCCACCACTACCTCCCCCCACCCCACCCAGCCCCTGGCAACCCTCAGCAACCTCCATTCTAATTCTTTGCTTCTGTGAATTTAACTGTTTTGGATTCTACATTTAAGCGAGATCATATAGTATTTGTCTTTCTGTGTCTGATATATTTCACTTAGCGTAATGTCCTTAGGTTTCATCCATGTTGTCACAAATGGCAGGATTTCTTTCTGTTTTATGGCTGAATAATATTCCATTGTGTGTGTGTGTGTGTGTATATATATATAGAGAGAGAACACATTTTCTTTGTCCATTCATCCATAGAGCTATTTCTTTTGTTGTTGCTGTTGTTCATGGATCAGAAATTTCTTTTCCCCTTTCAGATTCAGTTATCTCTGCTGTTTTTTGAGGGGCTAGTAGAAATACATTTATTCATGCCACAAAATTTTGAGATATCCATTTATGTTCCAGGCACTTTGCTAAGTGCTAGGGATTTAGCAGTAAACAAGATGGACTCACATCCTTCCCTATTCTGTTTTCATCTCATAAGTGATTTAGAGAAGTTAAATGAGTGAATTAGTTGAGTGTGACTAGTGTGCATACTGGAGAGCAGTGAGAGGCTATTTAGTTGCCTTGGAAATTTTGCTAAGGAGTTTAAACTCTTCTAAAATGTTGGAGAAACTTTGAAGGATTTTAAGCAGAGTAACATGAAATTTGCATTTTGGAAAGATCATTCTATTTTCTTAAACAATACAACCCTTAGGAAGGCAGTGGGTTTCGAGTGGATAACTCTTAATTCTGACTACAGTATTGTTAAATTCTTTAAATAATAATTTGTTCATGTATACTTTTTATGTAATTGAAAAAAAATTAAGTGAAGGGGGAAAAAGATCATTCTGGCATTAGTATGGAGAATGGATAGGAAGAAAGCAAGGCTGAGGGCAGGGAGACTAGTTGGAGATTCTCTTCATTAATTTAGACAAAAGATGAGAATGTCCTGAACTTGACTGGTGGCTGTAGAAATAGAGAGATTGACAGGTTTGAGAACACCTTAGATGTTAGAACTGGCTATACTTGGTGGGATTGGAGGAAGTAAGATTGAGACCATGAACTACAGATTTGCTGGTAGTGGTATACATAAAAATACTGATGTGTGCTGTGACTTAATAAATTTAAAACAAAATTCTTATACCTCTGGTCCTCTGGAGTGGCTATTAGCCAGAATATATTAAATGATTTTCTTTTCTAGATCTTTCAGTGGTCCTGCTTCTCCATTTAGAGATTTTCCTAATTGACAGCTGTGTCTTTCCAGGAAGAAACTCTCTCCACTTCTCATAATTTTGTTGTAAGACCCAGCTGTGGCTTGTTTGCCAGTCTGTCAGCCACTCTAGTTGGCCTGATGATCAAAGAACCTAGAGATTTACTTTGATTTCCAAGATTGCGCAGAACACACCGAGGGCTACCACACTGCCACAACACTGAGAAAGAGCTAAATTTGCCTTTTCTTCATGGTGGGCGTTGGTTATTAGGAGCCTTCAAGGCTTTGGAAAGTAACTCAGTAAGGTGAAAGTTCAGAGAGGATTTTGTGTTCAGTTGGGTTTATGTTAGCTGTGGTATCCTGTTTTAAATAGTTCTGTAACATATTTGGATAGTTTTAGCAATGGTATTAAGTCAGTGGTTCTAAAGCCCAGTCATTGTACACTGGTCTGAGGTACCTTTCAAGTCAGTAGCTACTAATAATCAAACGCCCAAGTTTGCAGATGATTTACTGAAGATTTTTAAAAATAAATTAAAGCATATTATGATGTTCCTCTCACCCATCTGTATTGTAGCTCAATCTTGAATGGATAGAGTTTCAGCTAGCTTGCTAGAAATTGTGCCTAACTTATAACCATTTTTTGTGTTATCCCACTATCTTGTGCATGGGGAGAGAGGAGAGAATGTCTATGTGCACATTATGTGTTGCCCAGCAGGAAAAAAGAAAGCTTGAGAACAATATAGTTTAATACTTTTTCTCTCTGAATCTTTAATAGTGTGATAACTGTGGCATAGAACCTATCCAGGGTGTTCGGTGGCACTGCCAGGATTGTCCTCCAGAAATGTCTTTGGATTTCTGTGATTCTTGTTCAGACTGGTAAGTGTTATCTATCATTGTAAGTCTTAAATTTTGACAAGAGCTTCTCAGACACTAGTGAGTTTGATTTCTAAACTGCTTAGAAAATCACCACATTTAATGGGTTGAACTTTGTTGTTCTAGACAATTAAGAAATTTTCCTTAATGACACCATATCTCAAGTAACTTTCCATTAGAGATTTTGAGAGATTAATGGATTTAAACAGGTAGAGCTGTGAGGAAGTTTGATAATATCTAGACCAAAATGCATCCAATGCCATGTAATGATGTGTTTGTATGTGTGTGTGTGTGTGTGTGTGTTTTCTTTTCAGCCTTCATGAAACAGATATTCACAAGGAAGATCACCAACTAGAACCTGTTTATAGGTCAGAGACATTCTTAGACAGAGACTACTGTGTGTCCCAGGGCACCAGTTATAATTACCTTGACCCAAACTACTTTCCAGCAAACAGATGACATGGAAGAGAACATCATATACTAGTCCTCTTCAACACATAGCAATGGTATCATTGTGAATTATGTGCACAGTTTGGAAAGATTCTCTACTTTCCCTGAAATGACACTCACAGCATGACAGCTTCCTGAGTGTTCTCGTCAACAGCTCTGCACCGTTGTGGCTCTAGATCACTGTTCAGCAGCTGAACATTCCTGGTGAGCAAAAGGGTTTCCCTGGTGAAATTCGCACCACCACCTTAAAGCCTTTTAGGTGGTGATCTTAAATGGGTGAGATGGAAATGAGAGCACATATTAAAGAGAGAGTAAATTCCAAAGGTTTCAAAGAACTTGGTCATAAATATGCTAATGAGAAGACAAAGTATTTATATTAAAACAGTTTAGTAGCTTTCAGTTTTGTGAAAATAGTTTCCAGCACAGAAACTGACTTCCTTAGACAAAGTTTTAACCAATGATGGTGTTTGCTTCTAGGATATATACACTTTAAAAGAACTCACTGTCCCAGTGATGGCCGCTGATGGCCTTTAGTAAATTGGAGCTGCTTAACCATGTTGATGTCTAATTTCTTTTAACCACAATGAACTGTCCTTATTACCAACAGTGAAGCACTACAGGAGGCAACTGTGGCATTGCTTCCTTAACCAACTCATGGTGTGTGAATGTTATAAAATTGTCACTCAGATATATTTTTTAAATGTAATGTTATATAAGATGATCATGTGATGTGTACAAACTATGGTGAAAAGTGCCAGTGGTAGTAACCGTGTAAAGTCTCTAATTCACAACATTAATTCCTTTAAAATACACAGCCTTCTGCCTCTGTATTTGGAGTTGTCAGTGCAACTCATAGAAGAAAACTGCCTAATAGAAAAATCATATATATGGTAATAATTTCCCTCTTTTGTAGTCTGCACAAGATCCATAAAAGATTGTATTTTTATTACTATTTAAACAAGTGATTAAATTTAGTCTGTGCAGTGAGCAAGAGTTCACATGCATTCTTTTATACTGCTGGATTTTGTTGTGCATCATTTAAAACATTTTGTATGTTTCTTCTTATCTGTGTATACAGTATGTTCTTGAATAATGTTCATTTGTCAGAAGAACTGTGAGAAATAAACTATGTGGATACTGTCTGTTTATATTATAGAATGCTTGTTGTGACTTCCTTCGGTTAGATTTTGGATTTTATTTTTACTAGTATTAAAACCAAAACAATTTTTTTTAAGGTTTTTTTTTTTCCTTTACCTATCTGCCCGTTAAAAAAGAGTAAGGACTATATATGATGGAAAAGAAGGTAAACTTGAGAAGCTCTGTAAAAGATGGTAATGTTTTCACTCACTGTGTGTGCTGAAACACTAAACTAGGTTAACAAAAGAGAATATGTACCATGGTTAAAGAAAAAGACAATTATTAATGTCCAGATGTGAAAACTAAAATTAGGTTGAAAACTTTTAACCTAACTATCATTCTTTCTGATGAAATAAGCCACCCATGTGTTAAATAAGTGGTTTTTGAAAATCGCTATATTCCCTGGAAATTATTATTGACTACTGGAAAAGAAAATATAAATATTCTAAGATTGATTAAGTATACTGATGCAATTTTTAGAGTCTTCTGTTTTTTCCAATTTTAAATCAAGGGGACATTATTTACCAGTCCTCTTCAATACATTGCAGGGTACTGAAATAATACCCTGAATTCTTTCAATTGAGAAAAGTAATACAGTTTTAACTATAGAAATATGAGAATTTTAATGTATTGATTAAAGAATACTGATGATTTTGATAAAATATATCACATCAGAAGAAAAGGAAATGGACTTGAATTAGAGTTTTTGCTCTGGAATTATTAGTTGGGGCAAGAAGAGGAGAATCATTAACATTCTGGGCATTTGGCTATTATACTTCAATTGAATATGCCAGAGATCTACCTTCAACTTGTAGTAAAGTTGAAGTAGCACTTGATGGTAACTTCTGTGTTTGCATAGAAGTAATACCAGTCAGTTTTGGAGAACCATTCAGAGCCATTCAGAAATCCCATAAAGTATGAAGTATGCTTTGAAAGAGTGATACAATTGATATTTATATAAGCAGAATAGACAAAATAAATCCACTTAAATGTATTTTTTAAGGACAAAGATTTTGAGAATTTTCAGTAACAAAATTTTCTGCTTGAGCAAAAGATGTGTTTATTTTGCATTTTTCAGCTCCAAGCAAATAGTCCTCATGGCTTTAAAAGGGTAGTAGTAGTGGTAATGTGTTTTGTTGTTGTTTTAATGTGAGGACTGCGGGAATGCACAGGGCTCTCATTTGCAAGTAGGCCTTCCATCTCCTACATAGAAGCATTGGTTGTAAAAGACAACATAGACCTACTTATTAAAGCATCACTTATTTAGTAGTATTCAGTAGGTCAGTTGTATTTCCTGAAATATTCTGCTCAAGTTATTTGCTAAGAACTGAAGGAACTTTTAATGACACCTAAAACCACTGCTTTAATGTTTTTAGGCAGAGGGGATTTTGGTTGGTGTGTGATGTGTGCTAAGAATAATAGCAAACACTGATAGAGTGCTTGTTATGTGCCAAGCAAGCATATGGTAACGAATTTAATCTTACAACCTTATGAGGCAGGTTCATTTTTATCCTGTTTTCATATGAGGAAATCTAGCCAGAGAGGTTAAGTAACTTGCCCAAGGTCATATCGTTAGTAAAGTGGTGATGCTTAGATTTTAGCCCAGACAGATTGCTTCAGAGTCAGCGTCTGAGCAAGAATGTTCCCTTTGTGTCAGGGGTCTCAGAGATGGTGGAGGTGGAGGTGTGCAGGAGTTACTTTTCTGTCTCTTCTTCTGGTGCGGTATGCACCCTAGAGTACAGACGTGAGCACACGTCCAGGTTTATAGCTCAGAATAGAGCAGCATATCTGTGGATGGGGAAACCCATCGATCTGTGAAATCGTCTGCCCCATGACGAATTAGGAAAACACATAATTTACATATTCTAATTTGACAGCAGACATGTGGTCATGAGGCTTTAGGCAAAGCTGGGACTGAAGACTTGGGTCTTCTACCTCAGGTACGATTTGTTTCCATTCATGTTTGGTGCCTCTCACTTAACCTAATAGTGTGCTGTGTCCATTTTTCTCTCCTCTTCTCTTTTGTTTAAATTAAATTGCAGAACACAACAATTTACTGAGGTATGAGGAACATTTTTTTTAATGAAATTAAAAAAATAATATATGACATGTATTAAGGATAAATACTTTGCAAATTTCTATGTTAGTTATAAACATAAGAGTGGCATGCTATATAAACTATACTTCTTACTGTGGATAACAGAGTTTGAAGGGCATTATTCTAGGTACACTGGGTAGATTGAAAGCCTCCAGATAACAAGTAGATTTTTACACAAGATTATGTCCTATTTAGGTTCTAAAGGTTTGTTTTTATTTCGCATCTTGAAGAAAAATGGGCTTCTGTTTATATGATCCCAGAAAAAAAAAACAAAAAACAAAAACCTTTTCCCCTACAGTTCAAGTAGCTGATTAAATGGATTTTTGAACATGGTGTCACATTTAGCTCCATGAGAACAGAGACCATCCGTGTCTATATTTATCCCTAGGGCCTGGCTCTTAGTAGATTCTCAATAAATATTTATTGGTAGTAGGACCAATGTTTTGGTTACATTTTTCTCTAGGAAGTTAGAGAAACCACCTGTGTCTGAGTGTGTCTGTGAGTGCATCTGTGGGACCCTTAGAGGGTTTGCCTCAGGAGATCTCCTTTACAGGGCTCTGGGAGGAATAAAGGATCATTACATCCTATTTTATCTGGAGGATGTGGTTCAAACCTGGGTGGCTGAGATTTTGGTTCTCCCTGGGACCCCATTTTCTGCCATGTTTTTAGAGTGATATAATGTTAACTAGCATGGAAATTCTGGGTCCTAGTCTCAGTTGTGGAAGTGAGACCCTCAACAAACGTTGACAAAGAGCTGCCTCTTATTGAGCACTAGGAACTAGTAAATGATTTACATGTATTATTAACCTGTTTAGTCAGCACAACACCTCTATGAGGTTGCTTACTATTGTGACCTCCATGGTACAGATGAGAAAACTAAGGTTCAGAGGATTTAAATGTTAGTTCTCCATAATGACTGCTATGTGTGGGACTGAGGATACAGAGCCTTGCCCTTCTGAAGCTTATATTCTAATGCCGAAGACCTGCGGTAAACAAGTAAATAAAAAACACTATGTAATTTTACGCAGACATAAATGCTGTGAAGAAAAATAATGCTTGAAAAAAAGATGATGGACGAATCAGGACCAGCCTGCCATTTAGAGGGAATAATCAAAGAACACCTCAACAACAAGGGTAAATTTGAACAGAGACCTAAATGGAGTGAGGGAGTTAGCCTTGTGGATAATCTGGAGAAAGAGGCAGAAGGATAGCAAGGGCAAGGGCCCTGATCCAGTAGAGAGCTTAGCTTGTTCAGGCAACGTTAAGAGGGCCAGTGTAGCTTGAACCAAATGAGTAAGAGGAGAGTGGTAGTTGTTGAGGTGAGAGAGGGCAGAGGGCCAGATCAGGTGAGGCCTTGAATGTAGATCATTGTAAAGGAGTTTGGACTGTGTTCTGATGTCTTCTACATACAGACAAGGTTTTCTTCGAGGGGCAGAGACCTCTAAGGTCCTTTCCTGCTTTAGTGACTTCAGTGATGTCATATCAAGCCATTCAAGTCAGTCGACCTGTTTTAACAGTTCTGTAGAAGACTTGCTTTGCACCTCTACATACTCTTCTTCCGGGCAAAGCCATTTACCCCTGCTGATCTTTTTCAAGAGGGTGGCCAACTGCAGCCATAAAAGCCATGGCTGGGCTTGTCTGCTGCCCTGCTGTCTGTCAAAGCTGTGGTGGGCATGGGCTGTTGACCAATATGTGGTATGTGTTTAAAGAATGTTAATTCCTACGAAGAGTCACTTTGTGTTTTCTGGCACAACTGATAATTTTCATCCTGTAACTCTCTTTTTCTAATTTGCTCAAATACTCCTTGTCCTCCCCTGTAGAGAGTGTTACAACTCGGGGTAGTAATGAAGTATTTGACAACCGTGTGAGTTGTAGGAACATGCCCCTTTTTGTTAATAGAGGCGTAATTGTAACCAAAGAAATTTAATTTCTCCATTAGCAAACACTGACATTTCTGTTTAAGAATGACTCTAGAGTAAAAGGAAATACCATGTATCATGAATTACACTGGAAGTTCTTTCTGTAATAGCTCAAAACTGGCCTATGGCCAAAATTAAAACCATATGAGCATATCATAAATCTCAACTCTTACTGTGTTTGCTTCTAATTCTGTTTGGAATAAGGCTTCAAATGCTTTCCAGAATGATGTGAGTTACAAATAAATAGTAAAACGTTATCCTGTGTTCCATTTACTTTATTTATACATATCCATTTCAAGAAAAAAAAAAAGATTTTAAAAATACAGTTCTGTCCCAGAAATGGATCCTTATCTGCACAACCATTGAAGAAAAAAAAAATCATGCAAACGGAAACTGTGGTCTTTTCTAGTGACTGAATGGAAGATGCAGTTATTCCAGTAGAATATATAAGAAACTCTTATTTGGCAACTGATAGCACAAAAGAGAAACCAAACTTCACCAGTTTGATTTGAGGAAACACAATTTTACATACGGATAAAAGGTTTGCAAACCCCTGGAAAAGGCCTGTATGGAACAAATACAGCATTGGTATCTGTTAAACATGGTGTACCGACATGCCCTTTCCACCCACGTCAGTTTTGTTACTATATTTCTTACTTGCTTGGTAACTAAATAGATAATCATTTAAAACCAAAGCCATAAGTTGACATTAGTCCAGTGAATGTGATAACAAACCACCGCATGCTTTTAAATTCTGTTTGGTCATTCGTTTTAACGTATAATTCCCCAAATGCACCACCAGGTATAGAAGAGACTAGGTTATTAGATAATTTATCCAATTTGTTCACTTAGCCAATGCGACACTATTCCAAGTAGCCAGTATCATAGAAATGCATAGAGAAATGTTACCGGTGACTAGTCTAGATTTTGCTATCTTGGAAAAGCTATACAATTTCACATACAAAAAAGCTCTTATCACATTTTTTCAAATTTGATCAAATTTCTTATGAACAATTTGTGTTGTCTCGTCAACCCAATCTCTTCAGTTCTGAGCTGGATGAGACTTGAGGAAACGTCCAGAGGAAGAGGCCCAGGCCTGCCCCCCATCTTAAGGGCCTTAATCAGGTAACAAGAGATAGATCTTCAGAAGAGGAAGGAAGATGTGACGGGGTGTTAGGGATGCTAACTCCTCCCTATCTGCAGAGAGTAGAACTGAATGATCAGACCCTAGTAAGTCCTGAAGGCACAACTGACACAGATGGGCACTGCACTGCTGTTCATGTACTAATTTAGCTCAGGGGTGATAGAAAAGTGTGCTGCTGTGAGTGCAGACAGCTGTCTGACTTAGGAGGAAAAGGTTGGATAACACCAAATACACCATGCATGATTTCCAGACACCTCTCAGGTCAAGCTGGGAAGCAAACAGCAATGTCAGGATTTGGGAGCGGGGGGCATACAAAAGGTTTAAATGGAAACACAGTGTTAGGGATGAACTTTTAATATTTTTCTCTGTCTCCACTCTCCTTAACATACATGCATTTTTGCCTTCAGAAAATAGAGTCAATAGCTGTGCAGAGTTGAAGAAAAACTTCCTCTGGCGTCCCCTCTGCATTTATCTGTGTTAAAAAGGAAAGAAAGAGAAAGTTAGTCTTAAGAAATGTTTTTAAATAAGGCCACTTTTAGTAATAAAAAAGATTACCTGCTTATAAGTTGCTGTGCAAAATTTTAAAACACAGGACTCCAAAATCACAGAGAAAAGAGTAGTCGTTTAAAAACTAGGTGCCTAATTAAAAAAACAAGACACGACTACACACCTATTAGAATGGGCAAAATCTAAAACACGTCATCAAATACTGGTGAGGATGTGAAGCAACAGGAACTCTCATTCTTTGCTGATGGGAATGCGGAAGGGTACAGTCACTTGGGGAAAGAGTTTGGCGGCTTCTTACAAATTAAACACGCTTAGCATATGATCCGGCAGCCTGTGCTCTGGTACTTACCCAAAGGAGTAGAACACGTATGTCCACACAAAATCCTGCACACACGTTTATAGGCGCTTTATTCATGATTGCCAAAACTTGGAAGCAACCGAGATGTCCTTAGGTGAGTGGATAAATAAACTGTGGTACATCCAAACAATGGGATATTATTTAGTGCTCAAAAGAAATGAGCTCTCAAGCCATGAAAAGACTTGGAGGAAACTTAAATGCATATTACTAAATGAAAGAAGCCAATCTTAAAAGGCTGCATACAATATGATGTAATGGAAAATGGCAAAACTGTGGAGACAGTAGAAAAGGTCGAGAGCTGGGGGGAGAGAGGAATGAGTAGGTGGAACACAGGATTTTTATGGTAGTGAAACTATTCTGTGTGATGATATAATGGTGGATACCTGTCGCTATACATTTGTCAAAACCCATAGAACGTGCAACGCCAAGAGTGAACCCTAATGTAAACTATGGACTTTGAGTGGTAATGATGTGTTGATGTAGGTTCATCAGTTAACGAATGTGCTACTCCTGCGTGGGATATTTTTGTTCTGGGGGGTTTTTTTTTGGCCACACCTTGCGGCTTACAGGATCTCTGTTCCCCGACCACAGATTGAACCCAGGCCCCCTGCAGTGAGAGCTCGGAATCCTAACCATTAGGCCACCGGGGAACTCCGTGTGGGATGTTGATAGTGGGAGAGGTTGAGTGTGTTTTGGGACACGGGGAATATGAGAACTCTACTTTGTGCTCAATTTTGCTGTAACCTACAGCCCGTCTAACAACAACAGCAAGAGCTAGGTGCTTATTGAGATAGATAAAGTATTGTTAAAGGTCACGGAAAGGCTTTGAGTTAGTTAAAATGAGACTTCTGAGTGTTCTGGAGTGTTTGGAGCAGGGTAGGAATAGGGCAGAGGTTGGGGGATGAGAAGGACGGGTGTGGAAAAGAAAGCAAAAGTTGAGACCTCAACTTGCAGGTGTGCTAAGTGCTAAGGGCAGAGCCCTCTTGGAGATTGTTGATACGCCAGGGCAAGGAGCCAACAACAGAGGAAGTAGGAGGGAGCTGATTTCCTGGGCATGAAGGCACTACCACCCCCTCCTCTCAAAATTGCCTAACATTGTGCCAACCACTGAGATTTGTCCCACCGCACATGTAGCATCCATAGAAAGTAGAGGCCTGGTGATGCGAATGAGACTCATGGAGGGGGCGGGGTTGTGAGCTTGCTAAAATGCAGCTTTTTCATACTTCATCTCCAGAGGTTCTCATTTGGTGAGTTTCGGCTGGGCCTTCTAATCCGCGAATTTAATCAAGCTCTACAAATGATTCTGATGTGAATCATCTTGGACCACACTTTGAGAAACTCTAGATGATTGCTTCAGTTCCTGTCTACCTTCTTTGTGCAGACGAGTTTTGATTTCACAACCCCTGGGATTCCAGAGGTAGAATGAATGCTCAAAAGGAAAAAAAAAAAAAAGTACACATTTAGGAACTTCCCTGGTGGTCCAGTGGGTAAGACTCCACGCTCCCAATGCAAGGGGGCCCGGGTTCAATCCCGGGTCAGGGAACTAGATCCCACATGCCGCAACTAAGAGTTCGCACGCCGCAACAAAGATCCCGTGTGCCACAAGTAAGACCCGGCACAGCCAGATAAAAAAAGTAAATGTTTAAATATCCTAGAAAATAGATAATAACGATGTTTGTAGAAGCATTGTTTGTAGTAGTCCCAAACCGGAAAAAGTGCAAATGTCCATCAGCAGTAGATGGATAAATAAATTGTGGCATAGTCGTATAATGGAATACTATAGTAATGGAAAAAACAAACAAACTACAGCTACATCCAGCAACATGGATTAATCTCACAAGGTTGAGGGAAAGAAACAAGTTGAAAAAATATGCATTCAGTACGATTCAATTTATATGAAGTTCAAAAATGAGCAAAGCTAAATTATATCGATTAGGGATCCATACACAGATGATAAAACCACAGTGAACCAGGGAAATAATTATCATAAAAGTCAGGATGGTGGTTACTTCCTGGGGAGAAGAAGGGAGATTTGATTGGGAGGGAGAGACATGTGGCAGAGCTTCTGTGACTGTCTGCTGTTTCTTGACCTGCATGGTGATTACACGGTGTTCATTTTATAATTCTTCAAATTTTACATATAACTTTTACACATTCCTGTATGTATGCTGTATCTCACAAGGAAAAAATAAAACCTAAAAACATTTTTTCAGCTTCTACCCCTCTTCCCCATAAACGTATCATACTTGATCCTTACAGGAGGGTTAAAGAGCAACCCGCAGTTGGTTTGTCTCCCTGGCTGGCGGCTCTCCATCTGGGGGGCAGGGACGTTGCTGTTTTCTGTCCCTCATAGCACCTTGCTTGTTGCTTTACCTCTTCTTCTTTTCCCTTTCAACCAACAAACATCTTCTGGGTGCCAACAATATATTACATGCTGGAGAAACCAAGGTGAAATGGACATAATGGTCCTGCTCTCAAGGAGCTCACAGCTCAAGGGTAAAGACAGACAACAGGAATTCACGCTGTTGTCAGGTAAGCACAGGAGCTCTGGATAAAGGGATACTTTACACCATCTTGGGAGGGCAGGAAGCTTCCTGAGGAAAGTTGTCGTCGTCATCATCATTAAAAATAATACACTTTACTACTAATGAAGCATAAGTGCTATTTTTTTTCACTTCCACCCTTGCTTTACTTTCTCGCTTCCTTTTCTCCCCTCCCTCCTGCCCTCTCTTAATCCCTGCTTTGCTCACTCCCTCACTCCCTACTGGGCTCCCTCCATCTATCACACGGTCCCTTTTCTGCTCCTCTCTCATTCCCTCTCCTCTCACTTGCTCCCTTCTTCCAACCCCTGCTCCATCCTCCCCTCCTCCCTAGCACAAGTGCTTTTAAACAAACAGGTAATTCTAACAATGATCTTAGGCGACAGGTATTGTTATCCCCATTTCACAGATGATGAAACTCAGGTCCTGAAAGATGAATTAAATTTCCCAAGGTCATACAGCTAAGCAACTGTCAGACACCTGGTTCAAACCCAGGTCTCTGACTCCAAAGTCCTTGTACTTGTTGACTACATCCTTGTATATTACATCCACCAGTTCAAAATAGCTGGATGGTTGAACTTAGTGGGAGTAGCAAGGAGTGAAGCTGGAATAATAAAAAGAGGTTGACTATAAAGAGGCTAATAGACTATTATATAAGAATAATGGGGAGTCGGGTAATGGTTTTTAAGGAATAGGTTGACATAATCAAACAGAAACATTTGTTTCCTCAGAGATTGGCTCTAGATAGGTATCTAGAAAGTATCCTCTAGATATCCAGTGATCCCACTCCTGGGCATATATTTGGAGAAAACTATAATTCGAAAAGATACATGCACCCCAATGTTCACAGCAGCATTATTTACAATAGTCAAGACATGGAAGCAACCTAAGTGTCCATTGACAGATGAATGGATAAAGAAGATGTGGTACATATATACAATGGAATATTACTCAACCATTAAAGAAGAGTGAAATAATGCCATTTGCAGCAACATGGATGGACCTAGAGATTATCATACTAAGTGAAGTAAGTCAGACAGAGAAAGACAAATATCATATGATATCGCCTATATGTGGAATCTAAAAAAAAATGATGCAAATGAACTTATTTACAAAACAGAAATAGACTCATAGACACAGAAAATAAAGTTATGGCTACCAAAGGGGAAAGGCACAGGGGAGGGATAAATTAGGAGTTTGGGATTAAAATATACACACTGCCTTATGTAAAGTAGATAAACAGGGACTTCACTGGTGGTCCAGTGGTTAAGAATCCATCTTGCAATGCAGGGGGCCCCGGTTCGATCCCGGGTCAGGGAACTAAGATCCCACATGCCGTGGGGCAACTAAGCCCTCATGCTGCAACTACTGAGCCCAGGTGTCACAACTAGAGAGCCTGTGTGCCACAACTAGAGAGAAGCCCACGTACCACAATGAAGAGCCCGCATGCTGCAACGAAAGATCCCGTGTGCCGCAACTAAGACCCAAAGCAGCCAATAAATAAATAAATATTTTTTAAAATTAAATAAAATAGATAACCAACAAGGACCTACTGTATAGCACAGGGAACTATACTCAATATCTTGGAATAACCTATAGTGGAAAAGAATCTAAAAATGAATATAAATATATATGTATAACAATCACTGCTGTACACCTGAAACTAACACAACATCGTAAATCAACTATATTTCAATTTAAAAAAAAAAGTACCCTCATTTTCCCATTCCTTCTTCCCTTTCCTCACAAACAGGCTATTGTAGGAGCAGAAACACACTCTTGGAGCCCATTTTCTGACCCACTATCTGGACTTTATAGGAAGATATGGATTCTCTCTTGTAAAAGCTGGGCAACTTGGTTTCAGAAACAAGGGCTAATGAGCACAAGCATCTGAAGGGCGACACTTGATACTTTCTGACGTCTGAGACTGGGAGGCAGAAGGCTTTGCAGCGGGATCTTGTCAATCAGGCCAAGGCTAATGTTTGGGGGAAGCTGCAAGCTGGGCTGAGGGAGTGAGTCATGCCCTGGAGCCTTAGCTGAGCCATCTCCCGCTTCTATTTCCATCCA